GTGGAGTCAGGAGAAACCCAGATTTTTATATAGTTAAAATGGTTGTAAATAAGAATGAAAATCATCAGCCTCTCTTTATTGGAGGAGAGGAGCTCTGATTTTCCAAGACACATGCACTCTGATCTCCAGTCAGAGGATGCCTTGAATTTGAGTAGAGTCACTCATTCATCACCAGCTTGGAAGCCTGCTATAGCAGTTACCATATCTGCATCACACACACAAAAACGCTGCCCTTTTGCATAGCATCACGCGATGGAATGCTTTCTCCTGTGCCTTTCACATGCTTCTCGGTGACACTCAAGGTGTGGACTGAGAGTCCTGGAAAAAAAAAATTGAAGAACCTCAGCTTGTTTTGCGTCACACGCTTTGTTACTTAGAAAAGGCTCAGCCTCCTAAGGGCCTGAGTACCAGTTCTAATTCCTCCCTCCCTGTGTCTGTTAACATAAATCACACAGCTCCAAACTTCTCAGCTTTCGTAAATGGCAGGTCTGATTCATGCATGATTTATCAATTATAGCTGTGGGCCATTAAGATAGATTTCTCAGCTCCAGGTAGGCTGCAGTGGGGCTGTATAGTGTTGGTTTAGAATTTCTTAAGAAGCTCAGTAGTTGACAACCCAAACAATACAACTTCCGTTTGCCCTTGTGGAAGGCTTTTTGGTTTTGAGTGGGATTTTTTTTTCCTTATAATTTCTTCTCCTTTTGAGCTTTGCCTTGGAGGGTGGGGGTGTGGTATTTTTAAGCAAGAGTAGTCAGGAGTTCTCAAAGCCACTCTCTCTGACAAGTATATATCTAGCTGACGAATGGCTAGCAGTTCCCTGTGACAGACCAGCAGAAGAAACAACTTTCAGCTTCACCTCTTGCCCCTCATGATTAATGGGAAGACCATGACACTTTGCAGATTCTAGACTTGGGGGGTGTCTTTCATTCTTGCCAGCAAGGAAACCTCTCTTTCCATGCACACTGCACTCAAAGGAGGAGAAGATTGTATGGCTCTGACTCCTCTGGACAGCTTCCCTGTAGAACCTCTCCTAGGACAGGCTAGGATCTGATGGCTAGTGCCAAAAAGCAAAAGCTAATTAATACTTCTGTGTAAGCTGTGAGAATATACAGTGGTTCAAAATGAGGAATAAATCGATATGGGCGGTGGCAGGGCTGCACAGAATATCATGGTTCAACACATGATACTTGGGCTTTAGGTTATGTTCTTAGAATTTGTACGGTTGGTCTTCAGAAGACTCCTTGGAAATCTAGAGAAGAAATGGCTTCTCATATTTTAATAAAGCATGAAGATACACGGTCTGGCCACCCACCCAGTTTTCTCTATATGGTTCATCACACAGCTCAAGTGTTGTCCAAGAGGTCTCCTCCTTTCACTGGGCTGTGAGACTACGCATCACTGTCAATTCTGATTTAAAAGGAGGAAGTGTTCTTTAAACACATGTTTAGCCATGTTGGATTTTTAGCCTTCTTTTACTTCTTCATATTAAAAGAGATAATTTTAAATAATTAGAAGTTCTGGAGTCTAGGGAGGAGGTTGGACAGGCCAATCTGCCTGACCATAAGCAATTACTAGACCCTTAGGAAATCCTGTTTGGGATGGCTTGTATGAACCATGACAGAGAAAGAACCCTGACCCACTTCCTTCCTCTCCATCCTATTTGTATTCCCATGAAAAGCCCAGGTTGTTGTTATAAACCAGGTTGGCCACTAGCTAGTGGTTAAGTCGGTAGTGAGAGCCATTCAGAGTGGAATGTTCCCAACAGACAACGTGCTGCTCCTGGCCTGTTTGTACTGAGAGCACTAGACCCCAGAAGCAGCCAATTTAGTAGTGTCTTTTAATTCACAATATTGTACAAATGTCATCATGGATCCAGATGGATGCTCTGCAATAAACTTACCACTGGAGAAAAGGCTTTATTGACTCTCAAGTAAATAATGCACATTTTAAAGGATCTAAATATGCATTTCCATAATGTACTATAATTTTTTATTGTGTCAACTATTCACACACACACACACACCCATAAGAGAGTTTTCTCTTCATCAAATATTTGGACTCATAGCACTCTGTACATTCCATTAACATCATGCCAGCTTCATCATGGTAGTTTCTTTTCAGTACAGCTTGCGCTTGCCATTTCAAAAAACATTTAATGGATTAATTGTTTGATTGATTTAGCTCCAGTGACACCTTCTAAAATGATTTGAGACAACTTAGCTAAAAATTTTGGTACACTTAGAACATCAAACCCAAGATTAAAGGGAAGGAAAGAAGAAACAGAGAGGAGGAAAGAGAAGAAAGACATTGATTAAATCTTAGCTGTGGACTTTTAACGGGCCTTAGTGTCCAGTAGAAGATGATTATCCAGAGAAACACCAGGGATCCAATAGTAATCAACAGATCTTCGTGACATCTATCACAGGTTCTGAGGAAATTAAAGGTCACTGTCTAGAACCAGCTGCCTCCATCTCTACAGTGAACCAATGACTCTCCATCCCCAGCGAGAGAAAACAGTCTTGAAAAGGACAACCCTGTAAATGCAGACTCAGCAGATGTCTGATTTAGAACTTCAGGCCAGATGATTTCCTGGAATTAATTAAAAATTAGTTGATCCTAATCAATCAGTCATTATAGAATTAATTCTACACAGTACCATATATTCTTAAGTTTGCACTGAATTCTGCACCATAAGGAAAAGATGAATAAATTGCTATTGCTAAAATGTAATAAAGAAATTAAAGTCTAAATTTACACTACTAATGATTTCCTTTTACATCTTTAATAAAATAAGTTCAATGATTGTTTATTAACAATTCACAGAGAGAGTGAATGGTAGTGGTGATTTATTTCCTTGGCTTTTATCGACTTAATTTTTGCTCAAGCTAGTGTTTTACCTTGGGCAGCACACTCTTGCTGGCTACCCCCATTTCTTATCTAAAAGCCACTCATCACTTTCTGTGAGAACCTGAGGCAATGCCACCTTATCTTCAAGGTCAGTCTCACGGGGCTCTTGACAATGGAGTTGCCACCTTTGTGTTTGACATGCTGCAACAGTTGAGCATAGTTTGTTTGGCTCAGTACATTCCTATCTTCTTTTCAGAAGTAACACCTACAATGCGTACTAGAAATGATTCTGTCAAAAAGAGGGCTGTGGTCAATGTTTCTTGTTGCCAGTAGAGACAACTACATCATGCTAGAAGAAAACAAAATCGTTTTATTCTATACATTCAGTAGCACAATTTCCAGGGGAAGAACAATCCTGGAGCATTCAACTCTTTAGCTCTGGAGTTTTCACTCCAAAATCATAATGGATTCCAAGACTTGTATTTCATTGCTTGCAGCCTTAACTTATAACCATTTCCTCCCATGATTTCTGGCTCTTCATCAGGGTGCAAAAACATATTTTGTCCTTGACAACTTTTATGATTATTTTTCTTATTTTTTATACTCCTTTATTTAGTTATTTAGTGTGCAACCAGCAAAAATTTCTTAGCTGCCACAATCAGTTCTGAGTGTATGACAGTGAGTGACTAAGTGGATAGGAAAGCTGTCTTAGCAAGACAGGAGCAACTAGAAGAGTAAGCGGGAGAGGGGGAGTGTAGAAAATTCTGATTTCAATAGATTATGATGTCCTTGGTTGTATGATTATGAGCAAAACGTTTTCTGGTTTAGCCCATCCATGTCTCTTGAAACCATAAGGGGAACCTGCAAAATTTATTGAATGGATTTAAGTGGCCTGAAAACAATGATTCTACCTGATTATCCGCAAGCCTGCATTTCTACTCTAGAAACTACAAGGGTTGCTCTGACCCACATAGTCCTAGCCCTTTAAGCTATTATTTTTAAAAAAAAAAATACCCTAATCATCAAGAGATTCCAGTAGGCATGCATCCTTGGCCATTTTAGTGGCATGGTGGGAGAAAGGGGGAGCCTACTGAACTTTGGATTCTCTTCAATATTATGAATTGCTCTTGGTATTCAGAAAGTCATATTCTCTAAAACTGTGGGCACTTCTGTGCTTCTCTTTGTAGGAGCCCCTTCAGTTTAAAGATTTAACTGTAAAAGGAAGGGGAGGCATATGTATCCCCTATCCAGAGTCTTTTCTGGTCTGCTTGGACTTGGTCTAAGTGTTATCAGCCCCCTCAACATGAAGCCCTTATCCTCTGCCAGGTCTTGGCCATCATCATCTCTCCAATTCAAGGACAAAAGCATTCCTGGAAAACGTATTAAGATCTCGCATAAGCTTTTTTTATCTAATGTAATCTTGTACAAATGATATTTATCAGGGTTCGAATATAAAGGAGTTGTTGTCTGAATCTCTCCTCAGATTTATGGCAGAGAAGCAACCTTTCACAGAGTTCCTGCCTACTCAGCCTGTAGCTGTTTTAGCTTTGAAAGGGCAACAGAGAAAAATGCAACATAAACCTTCCACCGTAAAGTGAGGCACCCAAATTGCATGGGTTCATTAAGTGATCATTTACTACAGACTTCAAAAAACTCTAGTCCTGAATTAGTCCCTAGAAATTTCCTTGAAAGGAGTGTAAGAGCTTTAACAATGAATTATTATCTATGGGTAGCTCGGCAAGAAAGGGGATCCATATGTGCAAAGTAGAATTTGTCAAATGTAATGTCGGTTAAATCAGGTCTAATCTACCAAATACATTTTTTATTGCTTGCTTCATTAAAAAGGCTCTTAAGGTAATGAATAATCTTCATCTTCAACAAGGATTATTAATGCCTTTATAACTCACGTCCACTGAACATAGAGAGGCAACTTGAAATTCTATCCTACTCTAGCCTCCATGTTTGTCTTAGAGCCTTAAAGGAGAAAATCCATCAGAACTGTCCTCACTACATCCTGTCACGTGGGCAACATTGTGAATTGGGCCAGGAAAAGACATGAAAAATAGAGAGAGAGAGACTGAGTTTGGTTCAGCTGTGGCAAAGCAGGGTTCTCCATAACCCTGATGTGTGTTGTTTTGTTCTGTTTCCTGCAGCAAGTCCACATGCAACGCCATCGACTCTCCACTTTCCAACATCACCCATCATCCAGCAACCTGGGCCTTACTTCTCACACCCAGCCATCCGCTACCACCCTCAGGAGACGCTGAAAGAGTTTGTCCAGCTTGTCTGCCCTGATGCCGGTCAGCAAGCTGGACAGGTGGGCTTCCTCAATGTAAGGAAATCTCCCTCCCTCCCCCCATTCCTCTAATAACAAGAAGACCCTTTATGATCATGTGATTTTGTGTTCTAATGTCATGCTGACTGACTACAGGCAAACGTCATATTTATTCTAGATTATGGGAAAGTTAACTTGCTGTAAGAGTGATTGGCCAAGGTTTAAAAACAGTGTTTGTGTTAAGTTTGCAACTGTCAAGCTTATGGATATAAATTGTCTGGAGAGTGAACTGTGTAACCTTCTTAGTTCCACCTCCTGCATTCTAACCCCAGGATCATACAGTTAACAAAATAGAAAGACTGAATAATTTCAAGTAACGATTTGGGGTAGTAGGGAGAGGTAGGGAGAAGAGGGGGACAGATGTTTCAGATCAACCAAGTTCTGTTTTGTTTTTTTCTTAAAAAAAAAAATACAGTCTTCTAACACTTTAGATCAAGTTGACCAGTACTTGAACTCAAGATGCTAGAAGCAAAGTTTATTATGGTTTGTTATTTCTGTGAGTAGTTATCTTTTCCACTTATCTTCATATAAAACTAAGCCATATTCAATAACTACAAATGAATGTTTTCATTTTTCTCAAATAAACTAAATAATCACAATTTGAAGTAACATTCCAATAGTAAAGTTATTTTATAATATCGCAAATTTTATTACAAATGTAAAGCTATATGTTTACAATGAATAGCTGTATCCCAAGGCCAATCGCAATAATAATAATAAATTAAGACCAGCAGAGAGCTATATTTGATTTCCTTTTCTCATAGTATCTATGCCTGAAACCACAGATTCGCCATAATTCTTATTGCCTGGTTCAGGATGTTATGTCATACTGCTCTGTGTCGTTAAGACTTTCTCCCCTGCAGAAAGACCTGATTCTGCAAGTCTGAGCCAGAATGGTCAGCTTTGACTAATGTCTGGTGATCTGTTCACAGATATGTTTCTGTCTAGACAACAAATCGATGTGGTGCCTTTTTTTTTTTTTTCATTTTTCATTTTGCTTGTGTATTCATCTGCTTGACTTATTCTGAAATATTCACTTATGGACTTTTGGTCCACACAGAAGTTATACACCGGCAAGGATGCTGGTGAGAGTGGGCAGTCTTCTGACCAGCAGCCAGTATCTGAGGAAAAGTACTAAAAATATCATGAATGCTGATGAAGGAATGAGCCTGCCTCTGCCGAAGTATTAAGTTTATTCCTAAAAGCCCAGGACAATGGGATCTCCTTTGGCTGAATTTTGGGTTGGGGCTGCTGTCTACATACAGGCTATTTCTGGCTATAACTCATTATGGAGAGCCACTTGGGAAATCATGAAAACCTGAACTGATCACTGGCACCAAGTTTGACTTCTGAACATCTAATGTGATCTTTTTAATAATCATGACATCACCTTATATAACTGTTAAATGTCCTATTTTGTATTTTGATCAAATTTTACAGGGTTTGAGACAAGTCTCTCCATAAGGCTTTTTTTGAAGACCTTGAAAATAAATATTTCATTTTCTCTTCTGAGGGAAACTTGCTTTTGTTAGAAAGCTGTTCTTTGGCTGTACTAGCATTAGACTACCAGAAGTCTGAGTCCAATGGCAGGCATATGCTGGTATAAGTCAAATTAGACATGGTATTTTTGCCTAATAGAAACCTAATAGATAAATATTAAACTTTCCATGCCTGATGCTATATGATATGTAAAAGAAAATATCTATGTCCATTGAAGACACTTATTGTCTTATAAGATCAACTTCAAGAAATGATAACAAAGTATTGTTTTATATATCTTATATTCATTTTTAATGGTCATTGATTTACCTATAGAAATATACATGGAGGACTAATATCTCAGTCTAATACACATATAGGTATTAATCAAACATTTTACAATCATAAAAGTGTTGGTGGAAGCAGCAGCCCATACAACAATGAGCTAGAGTTGCTTGTTCGGGGACATACAAGCCCAGGGTGCTCCTGGATGGGACACTGTGTGGATCAAAACGATCAGTGTGCTTCCAACAACCTGAATATTAGCAGTTTGCACGACAGGCACCTAATGAGTCTTTGTTTTGCAGAAGCAGCTATTGGCTGACGTCTGTTTATTCTTTCTCTTGTATTTGTTTTCTCTGAACCCTTGCAGCCCAATGGAAGCAGTCAAGGCAAGGTGCACAACCCATTCCTCCCCACCCCAATGTTGCCGCCACCACCGCCACCACCAATGGCCAGGCCTGTGCCTCTGCCCATGCCAGACACCAAGCCTCCAACCACATCAACAGAAGGAGGTGCAGCCTCCCCCACCTCACCAAGTAAGTATGACTGAGACAAGGCGCCGGTTACTTAACATGCCCTGTGCACCTGAGTTCACACCTAAGCCTTGCCCCTCGCTGTCCAAGTTTTAGCAATAGTCACAAATCCTACCCTTATGTCTACAACCTGAGGTGGCAGAGCCCAGACCCAAGTCGCAGTGAATACCACTCCGATGTACTTTCAAACTGTACCAGATATGGAAGTGATGGAGTGTAGATGGTAGATTAAGATGCTGTAACCACATGCTGAGGACCGGGAACAAGATACAAACCATTACATTTTGTGTGTTCCTGGAGTGGTTTGCATAGAATGCCATTCCCTTGGTGTTCTAAGAGCATCTGCTTGGTTAGAGTAAGACAGGCCTGATTGGAAAATAAAAAAACGTCAGAGCCAGAAGCCACCGGAGCTGCATGAGGGGGCTTGGGAAGAGAAGGAAATAAAATTGGGAGTACTTAATCATAAAGTAGGAGATTCTGAAATCCATTTATATGATGGGAATGATCATTTGATGATTTCAACAGGCAGCAATTCTCCAGATATTTCTTGGTATGGTGGAGATGGAGGGGCTACGAAAGGTGTGAACACACAAATATGGCCTTTATTCGTGGCTGCAACAGTGGCAGAGCTTAGCCTTGAAAGGTGGTGTGATGGGCCCTTCCTTAGTCCTTTAGAGAGGATGAAAGCATAGGAACTGGACCAGTGGCAGTGCCTCTAGGGAGAGCCCAGTGATGCTGGTGGGGGTGCCTCGGAAGAAAGTGGGAACGAGAAAAATATGTAAGTAAGAGCAGTTAGGAAGAGAAGTATTAAGGCCAGGAACTTGAAGAGCAGTAATAGCATTTGAATGAAAGGGAACAGGTGGAGGAGTGCTTTCATTTAAATGAGAAGGCCTCTTGGCTTTCTTACATTCAGTATTGTAATTAATGGTATTTTTGGTACAAGAGAGAAAGAGCCAAAGAGGAAAGACACTCCTCTGCTTAGATCCCAGTCACTGGAACTGGTTCTGGGGACAGTGAATCTAAAGTGACCTGCATCTCTCTTAGACATAGATCAGAGAGTCAACTTTGTATTATCTAGTATTTATTTGGGTAAGTGGATGTGTATAAATCCTGCAGCAGAAAGACCGAGGATGCAGAGGCAATCTGGAGAGATAGACCTATTTGGTAAGAAACGGTTAAGTCCAGCACTATCAGCAAAGGAGAGAACCAGTATCCATTGGCTGGGAAGGAAGCTGTTTAGCTGTGAGCTGTTGGCATATCTCAGAAGCAAGCTGGGAAAGGGGTCGAAAACTAGTATTACTAATGGATGAAAAGCTAAGGGGAAAATGACACTTTTTTTAAAAAAATCACGTGCTTTCTTAGAAACTAAAATTGCAGGATGGTTTGATCTGTTTATCCTTAGCAGCTAACTGGAGCTCAGCTGCAGCAGCAGGAGGCATCAGGCAGGCTGTGCAGCAGGAGGAGGTGTCAGGCAGAGTGTTAAATACAATATTCAGCATCCCAATAATGTGTCCATCAAAGAATAATAGAAAATACTTTTCTATTTAGGGGTTTGGGTTGCTTGCGATAAAATAAGTTTTTCTTCCAGTATAAAAAAAAAAAAAAAAAAAACAAAGAAAACAGGTTATCAAGTCAAAGGTCTCCCCTGTTACCAACTTTTGGAAGGCCTCAACTCCCTCTCTAATGGTAGAGCATTAACTCCACTGCCCACTCACAGCAGGTTGTCAGGAGGAAGCAGGATAATAGGCAATCTTTGCGACATACAAAAGGCCAAAGCAACATTTTTAATATCATCTAATGATGAAGTACAAATGGCTGCCAGCATAGAACAGAGTATGTGTTGCCTCTGGCAGTGATTCTAAACTTTTCAGTGTGGCCAAAAAAACATGGACAGGGCAGATCTGGGGGGAAGAAATGCCTATAAAATAAATATACTTTAATGGGAAAAGTCTGTTCCCATCCCCTTAGAAATCAGGCAAGTGGGAGTGAGGAGAAAGTTGAGCTCTTCCATTAAAAAGAACTTTCACATTTCTGCATGTGTACAGAACCATTGGTTATATGCACTGTGTGCAACTGTTTAGAATGTGACAGCCAGGATCCTTGAGCTGTGAAAGCAGTTCACACAGCATGTTCCACGCTCACCAATGAGCTGGTGATGTGGGTTTCCATCCCCACTAAAGAAAACCTCTTCTCCATTCATGCTATTGAGCATCAGCTGTATGCCAAAAACCCTTCTAAGTGCTAGGCTTTAGCACTTAGACAGGGGATAAAAGTTCCAAAGAGGAAGAGAGAGAACAAACAACACAGTATGTATGAAAGGCAGGTGATGTAAGACAATGATCCATCCCTACATGTTCAAACCCACGAAGCATCTATGCACAAGGAGCAGTGGGGGTAGCACGGCATGCAAGTGGGGAGCAAGACCTACCAGCCCTTTGACATCAGAGGAAGGCCCTGATGGTTGGGACCCAATGACTGGTAGGTAGAAGGACCAACTAAAGCAGCCTGGCGTGAGTGAGCAAGGTGAGGACAGTGAGGAAGAGAAGACCAGAGGCAAAGTTAGAGAGGTTATGAGGATGTAGTAGGGCCTTGGGAAGCTTGTAAACCAGGGTCAGGACTTGAACATTTCCTGCAAGTGAGACTGTGAGCAGAAGAAGGCCTCCTAAAGCCCAGATGTTAGGAGAAAATTGTGGAGGGCTTTGTTGAAATAGGTTGCCAGCAGAGGACCAAAAGCAGGACACGGTGGATGTAATAGGTGTCTTTTATGTGCCAGCCCCCATTCTAGACAGTACCAAGGTAAATGAAACAGATAAGAACTTTCATCCTGGTGGGAGTGGAAACCCAAGACAACAAAAGATAGGGACAACTGAAAGCTAGGGACCAGTAGATAGAATTGAGGACGCAGGACTGGGCAGAGTATGGTGGGGGAGCTATGGCAGTCACCCAGATGAGAGTTGGCCATGCGCTGACCTGGAGTAAGGGTGAGTAGAGGCTGTGAGAAGCTCTTGGACTCCAAGAATGTTCTAAAGATAGAGTTAATAAGCTTTGCAGGGGCATCTGAAGAGGGCTGAGAAGGAGAGAAATCAGAAATGGCCTGTAGGGTGTTTAGCCTGAACTCCGGAAAAGATGAACACAGGAAGACAGCAGGAGAAGCCATTCTGAGTGAGGGACAGACACTCTACTACACAGTTGAGTCCCTTAGACCTCCCAATGCTCAGGCGAAGTAAACTTGCAGCCAATGGTAACCCTGAGCAAGTTATAGAGCTTTTAAGGGTGCATCATCTTCTTTTTGTTTTTTGTTTGTTTGTTTGTTTTGTTTTGTTTTGGAAACATGGCTTCTCTGTGTAATAGCCCTGACTGCCCTGGAACTTGAACTATATACCAGTCTGGCCTCGAACTCACAGAGTTCCACCTGCCTCACCTCCTTCTGAGTGCTGGGATTAAAGGCGTGTGCCACCACCACTTGACCTGGTACATCATTTTCTTAATAAAGGACTCTTTTTCAAACATAAAATATGATATAAGAGGTTTACAAGAGGCTTCGTGTGGTGGCACATGACTTTAATCCTAGTACAACCGAGGCAGAGGCAGGTGGATCTCTGTGAGTTCAAGGCCACTCTGGTCTACATATTGAGTTCCAGCCAGCCATAATTACATAATGAGATTCCCCACCCCACCCCATTAAAAGAAAGAGAGAGAGATAGAGAGAGAGTTTTCTATAGCTCCTCATATAGTTTGGGAGTAGCTCATACCACAAAAAAATAGAATTTTCTGTATTTTTTTTTCTAAAGCAAAGATTGGCATCATAACATGGAATTAGAATGCGAAGGAGAAAACACTTTTAAATTATGGTAGGAGATAAAATATGCATATTCTCCTTTGTTAATTAATTAAAAATCAATTTAAGGTGCATAAAAAATCTCATAAGCATTTTTCTCCTCTATTCCTTCTTAGTTATGAACTTCTGATTTTTTTAAAACTAAAATTCTATTAAAATAGAAACATATAATAGCAAGTTACATTTATTGTTTATTTTTATGTCTCAAATGAATCTTGTATCGGTTTCATTCTGTAAATGAATATGCACTATAAAGGAGAGCATAACAATCATCTACCAGCAGAATGGAAATGTTTAAGCCTAAGAGTCAGCATATGTTCAGTGCCCTTTGGTGAACAGAGCTCTTTACCCATGTGTATTATTCTTCCTACCACTCCTTTGAGGTCAACATTTTATAGACAGGGCAACTGAATTGAGAAAGTGAAGGTTACCTTGCTCAGTACAATGTCCCGATGGTGGGATAGTGGGCCTGCCATGCTCTCTCTCTCTCTCTCTCTCTCTCTCTCTCTCTCTCTCTCTCTCTCTCTCTCTCTCTCTCTCTCTCTCTCTCTCCTTCCTCAGACTATAACTGAGTGGCTTTCCTAGTTAGGGTTTCTATTGCAGTGGTAGAACACCATGAACAAAAGCAACTTGGAGAAGAAGGGATTTACTTCAGCTCACAGTTCCACATCACAGTTCATGATAGAAGGAAGTCAGGGCAGGAAGTTAAGGCAGGAACCCAGAGGTAAGGACAGAAGCAGAGCCCATGGAAGAACACAATTTACTGGCTTACTCCTCATGGCTTGAGCAGCCTGCTTTCTTATTAACTCGGACCATTTGCCCACAGGTAGTACCACCCACAATGGGCTGGGCCCTCTTACATTAATCATTAATCAAAGTATTGCCCAAAGGCCAGTCTGGGGGCTAGGTGGGTTGGGGGGGTCTCAATGGAGGTTCCCTCTTTCCAGATGAGCAAGGCAGCTTAGGAAGGGGCACTTGAGCTTGAGAGGGACATCACAGACAGCTGAGCTCTCACCAGGGTGCAGGCAATTTATGAATCCCTTTCCTTGTGGTACCTCATTTTCCCCCTCACATTAGCTCATGGAGGAAAGCTTCTTGGTAAACTGATGGAGAAAGAGAAGACAAAATGAAGGGAGAAGGTAACTTTTTGAAGGCCATGCAACCA